AGAAAGAGCTGCCGCAACCCTATACCCATTAAACAATAACTCCCCATCCCCCTCTCTCTGCAGTCCCTAGCAATCACCAGTCTATTTTCTGTCACTGTGAAGTTACCAATTCTAGATACCTCATGTAAAGGAATCATACACTTTGTCCTTTTGTGTCTGGTTTGTTTCACTTAGCATGTTTTCAAGGTTCCTCCATGTTGTAGCCTAAGAATTTCATTCCCTTTTGAAGCTATACCCCCATTTTAAAGAGAAATCCAAGCCTTAGAGAAATAGAGAAACTTTCGCAAGATCACAAAGATTAGAAAGTGCTGGGACGAGAACTCGGGCCTGTTTGCTTCAGAGCTGGCAATCTTAATCACTTTGCTGAGAGGGTCAGATCTCATCCCTTCCAGCAGCAAAAGCGTATGAATTCCTGGCTAAATGCTGAGTCCTTCAATGTCAGAAAAATGTCTCTTTAAAAACTTTTTCGGTGTTTGATCTAAGATATTCCTGTTCTGGAAACAAATATATTTTTCTCACTTAGCACCCCATGTAAACATACCTCAGCACGCCTGTTTGCCTACGGTGTTGCATAGGCCATGGGTGCATTACTAGGTGTGGGTAGCAAAGGAGTGAGTATGTGTATGTATTTAGGAGAGAGGAGTGATGCAGAGAACATGGGACATTCCCCCTTAGAAGTAGTCTATAGCAACAGTAGCAGCAGTTACAGAATCGATTAATAATTATGGAAACTATTAGTGTTGGACCAACACTAATAGTAAGTTTAAGCAGGTGCTTACATAGTATGCTTTGTTTCTTTAATAGCTGGACGATGCTTGAACTCTGCGTGGAACAAACCTTTATCTTAAAATTAGAAATATGGCTCAAGATGAACGTATTCTGGGAAAAGCAATACAGTCGCTTAAATTCACAATCAGGTCTAAATCATATCAAATTCTGGCAGACAGTCTGTCCTTTGCTGTCCTGCCCGCCACTCCCTTGTGGTGTATTCAATAAACTTCTATCTCCTTTCAAAAAAAAAAAATTCTGTCCATGGAAGCTGGACACAAGAGAGTTAACCTGTGGCTGCGGGCAGAGGAGAGAAGGAGCCTGACAGGAAGATCTGGCATTGAGCGGCCGGTTTCGCCACTGTCTAAATTTTGGCCAGGTTGAGGGCAGGTAAGACGTGAGCAGCAGGAAAAAAGGTTTGCTGGGAAGAGCAGTCGCCCGAAAGCTACTGTGGTTCTCATCCTTGGCTGGACATTGGGATCACCTGAGGAATTTTATAAACATACTGATACCTGGATGCCACCCTCAGGGATTCTAAATTCATTAATCTAGGGTGTGGCCTGGATATCGGGATTTTTAAAGGCTCTGCCAGTAATTTTTTTTTTTAAGATTTTATTTATTTATTTGACAGGGAGAGAGACAGTGAGAGGGAACACAAGCAGGGCGAGTGGGAGAGGGAGAAGCAGACTCCCCGCTGAGCAGGGAGCCCAATGGGTTGCCAGGGTGGCTCAGTTGGCCTTCATCTCAGGTCATGATCTTGGGGTCCTGGGATCGAGTCCTGCCAGTAATTTTGATGGGCAGCAAAGTTTGAGAACCACTTGTTCAACTACTATCCTGCTGTGCACTCCCCACCTATTTTTCTCTTTGTTCTCCCTAGCCATGCCCTCCCAAGCCTAGAGCAGCAGTTTAGAGAGCTACCTGGTTTCCTTTTTCCTTGTCATTTCGGCTCTTTATAAATTTAAACAAGCATGTCCAGGTCTTAGTCTCCACGTCCATCCCAGACTTTGTGTGTGACCCAGGATAGCTTACCTCACCTTATCTGCTATCTAGGGACACCGTTACCAGCTTAGTTTATTCCTGTGTTTATGACTTCATTCCTGTCTAAGAATCCTGCCCCCCCTTTTCAGGAGAGGCAGTGAGTGCAAAGTGCTGAGAAAGAGAGGGTTCCTCTTACAGGTGGCTGTTGATCCGTCACCTTTCAGCAGGGACTAAATTTACCTTAAAGAAGAGTGCAGATCGAATTACGCATCAGAAAGCAAGTTTCATTAAAGAGCAAGAAAGGGGACAGTGTTTCCCAGGAGAAGATTAAAAGAAAAGGATTTCTTTTCTTGTCGGAAGAGTTGACAAAACAGCAACTTGATATCAAATGTTCAATGCTAATTAACAAATGCTCAGTAGAAAGCCTCCATCTCATTCCCTCTCCCTTGCTGAAGCCAGAGAGCAAATGGCAGGTGGGAGCTACACAGGGCTCTTTCTCTAGCATTAGAGAAGCCTTACAATGTTGATGTGCTTGAGAAAGAACTGGACAGGAGTCGAAATTCCAAATGTTTGCCTCACTGAATTACAGTGTGAACTTGGAAAAGTCACTTCATCTCTCCAAGCTTCAATTTCCATATGTGTAAAAATAAACAATACCACACTAACCCGTGACCTTCCATAATTGAAATAGATTCCCCTCTCCCTCACTGTAAGGGTCAGGCCTGAAAGCACGGAGCTCATCTGTTTCAGAGCCATCCTTTATAACATTACGATCCTCATGATTATTTGAAGTTTCTAAACATAATTCAGTAAAATGTTCTCATTTTAAAAAGATGGCAAGGGACGCCTGGGTGGCTCAGTCGTTAAGCATCTGCCTTCAGCTCAGGTCATGATCCCGGGGTCCTGGGCTTGAGCCCCGCATCAGGCTCCCTGCTCTGTGGGAAGTCTGCTTCTCCCTCTCCCACTCCCCCGGCTTGTGTTCCCTCTCTCATTTCTCTCTCTGTGTCAGAAAATAAATAAAATCTTTAATAGAAAAAAAAAGATGGCAAAATTTGCGTTCCACAGTGAATGGATGTTGCCAATATTAGGTAGTTTTATCTCCATCCAAAAAAGGCTCCTTAATGTTGGCATATGCCAATGATATTAAACAATGTCTTACCTCAGAAATTAATAAGGTCAATAAGCAACATGAAACACTGATCTAATTTTAGCATATGTATATCTTAGGTTATTTTGACTGTTTTGCCACTGACAATGTCAATTCTCTAATCCATAATATTTAAAGTCCCATATGTTCATATTAACATGATTTGTCAAGAGTTTTTCAAGTTTTTGTCACCACAGTATTTCTCTGAGAAAGATCACATACCTACAATATTACCACTTTACAAAAAGGAAAATGGTTGCATGATTGACCACTGTCAGTCAAGGACAGAACTGGGATTAGCACAACCTGCGTTTACTGATGCCCAAGCGAACCACAAAACTAAGTGACTGGGGGTCAATTCCTGTAAGTAAGATAAACTCCTTCAGGAAGTGGAAAACCTATGAAGACACATTTCAAGGTAGAAAGGGACTGCAGAGTATCTGGTCTAAGAGACATCTCACCTCTAATCTTCTCTGAGGGGAGGTGGCCTCTGTGGCAGTGAGCTGGTGTTAAGTCATTTCTAGGCATTCAAACCAGATTGGGGCTGAAAGGGCTTTTGGCACTGAGAGGCTGTCTGGTAGCTCCCACTGCATTTTTTCCCATTGTTTCAGGAATTCCCCTCCCCCCAGGTTAGAGCTAGGTGGGCCTCTAGGCCCCTGCAGGCCGGCATCTCCCCAACCTCCACAGTCCTTAATAGTGACAGCGTGCAGTGTTGTTGCAAGAGAAGGGCAATGGAGGAAGAAGACGGGCAGGGAGGACAGCACTAAAGAGGAGATGGCTCCTTGAACAAGCACGAGCTCCATAAATCAGGTGTGGGCCGGGTGATCTGGGGGGTAACTTGCATTCGGCTATTCTGCGGGAGGAGGGGCGGGGAGTAAAGGGGCTCAGTGTTCCGCAGAGAAGGGTCCTGAAATGATTTCCTTGGAAATTCTACTTTGCAGCCTCCCACCCTGAGAAACGTCTTTTGTGGAGAGGCATGGGGGTAGGGTGGGAATAAAGGTGAGGAAGACTGGATAAAACTTGGGGTATTTGGGGGAGCGTGTTTTGATGAGGGATGGATGTTCTGGGCTCCCTCAGACCTCTGAGATCAGACCACCCTCTCTGGAGTCCCCGTTTTCCAGGCTCAGTGGATCTTTTATCCAAAGAAAAATAAGAGAAGCCTCTCGCTTTGCTCTATTGAGCAGGGCTGTGTTTCCCACTGTGCCCCCTTGAGCCTGAGGGGGGTGGGGGCAGGTCTGGGCAAAGACATCTGGAGAAGGGGGGAACTGGTAGAGTGCAAGGGAAGGTGGACCCCCACCACGCCCCACAAGCACCTGTCACTGAGCCTCCGGAAACCTGCTAGGCTCTGGGCTCCGGCCCCACACACCCACCTCCCACTCCCCGCTCCCGCCCGGCTCCCGAGCAGCTCCTCCCCCATCTCCCCTCTCCCAGCTTTCTCGCTCCAGCTCCTCCCCTCCTCCGCGCCTCCCCGGTCCCCTCCCCCTCCTCCGCGGCTCCCTGCCCCCGCCGCCGCTGCCGCCGATCTCCATCTCCGCAGTCTGGGCCGCTGGGCGCAGAGGCTGCCGCAGCCTCGGCGGCTACCGCCGCCTCCCCCAATCCCGCTACCTATTGTCTCCCACTCTACCCGGCCCTCCACCTCCCCCACAGCCATGGCGCACGAAACCGGGAGGAGCTCTCGTCTCGGGGGGCCCTGCGGGGAGCCGGCGGAGCTTGGAGGTGCGGTAGGGCCCTGCCCCGGCAGGGGTGGGGGCGGAAGGGACGCGCGCGCGGTAAGGGACTTTCGGCGGACGGGATGAAATGCACGATTCTCTGCCTAGGACCCTCTCCTCACGCCCGTTCCTTGCGCCCGCGGTGGCCCGGGGTTGGGGGGGATGGGGGACGGACTAGGGAAGGCAGAAGCTTGAGCGTGTCTGCCCCTCCCCACCCCCCTCCCCTGGCGTGTTTCGCGTCCGGGCCGGTCAAGACTGAGCTCTAGCCTTCTGCGTGGCCTGATGGTGAGCTCATCTCCCCGCCCCCCACAAGCGGTTACTGGGCTCGTTGTTAATTAGAGCCTTCGCATGCCCATCCCAACCGCACCACCCACGCTCTCTCCTTGTCTTCTCCCTAGGTGATGCTAGCGAGGAGGACCACCCCCAAGTCTGTGCCAAGTGCTGCGCACAATTCACTGACTCAACCGAATTCCTCGCCCACCAGAATGCATGTTCTACTGACCCCCCTGTAATGGTGATAATTGGGGGCCAGGAGAACCCCAACAACTCTTCGACCTCTTCTGAATCCCGGGCGGAGGGCCAAAATAGTTCCCAGGTCATGGAGGCAGAGCACAGCGACCCTCCGGATTCTGGGTCTTCAGTGCCCACAGATCCCTCCTGGGGCCCAGAGCGGAGAGTAGAGGAGTCTGCGGGGCACTTCCTGGTCGCTGCCACAGGTACAGCAGCTGGGGGAGGCGGGGGCCTGATCTTGGCGAGTCCCAAGCTGGGCGCAACCCCATTACCTCCAGAATCTGCCCCTGCACCCCCCCCTCCTCCTCCTCCACCTCCACCCCCAGGGGTAGGCAGCGGCCACTTGAACATCCCTCTGATCTTGGAAGAGCTCCGGGTGCTGCAGCAGCGCCAGATCCACCAGATGCAGATGACTGAGCAAATCTGCCGCCAGGTGCTGCTGCTTGGCTCCTTAGGCCAGACAGTGGGAACCCCTGCCAGTCCCTCAGAGTTACCTGGGACGGGGACTGCGTCCTCCACCAAGCCCCTGCTTCCCCTCTTCAGCCCCATCAAGCCCGTCCAAACCAGCAAGACGCTGGCACCTTCCTCCTCTTCTTCATCCTCCTCGGGGGCAGAAACGCCCAAGCAGGCTTTCTTTCATCTTTACCATCCGCTGGGGTCACAGCACCCTTTTTCTGCCGGAGGGGTTGGGCGAAGCCACAAACCAACCCCTGCCCCCTCCCCAGCCCTGCCTGGCAGCACAGATCAGCTGATGGCCTCCCCTCATCTGGCATTCCCAGGCACCACGGGACTATTGGCAGCACAGTGTCTTGGGGCAGCTCGAGGCCTTGAGGCTACTGCCTCCCCAGGGCTCCTGAAGCCAAAGAATGGAAGTGGCGAGCTGGGCTACGGGGAAGTGATGGGTCCCTTGGAGAAGCCCGGTGGACGGCACAAGTGCCGCTTCTGTGCCAAAGTATTTGGCAGTGACAGTGCCCTGCAGATCCATCTGCGTTCCCACACAGGTGAGAGGCCCTATAAGTGTAATGTCTGTGGCAACCGCTTTACCACCCGCGGCAACCTCAAAGTGCATTTTCACCGGCATCGCGAGAAGTACCCGCACGTGCAGATGAACCCTCACCCGGTGCCCGAGCACCTAGACTACGTCATCACCAGCAGCGGCCTGCCCTACGGTATGTCCGTGCCGCCAGAGAAGGCCGAGGAGGAGGTGGCCATGCCCGGTGGAGGTGTGGAACGCAAGCCTCTGGTGGCCTCCACCACAGCACTTAGTGCCACGGAGAGCCTGACGCTGCTCTCCACCGGTGCAGGCACAGCCACGGCTCCTGCGCTGCCTGCTTTCAATAAGTTTGTGCTCATGAAAGCAGTAGAGCCAAAGAGTAAAGCTGATGAAAACACCCCTCCGGGGAGTGAGGGCTCAGCCATCACCGGGGTGGCAGAAAGTGGCACCGCAACCCGAATGCAGCTGAGTAAGCTGGTGACTTCGCTTCCCAGCTGGGCACTGCTTACCAACCACTTTAAGTCCACAGGTAGCTTCCCCTTCCCCTATGTGCTGGAGCCCTTGGGGGCCTCACCCTCCGAGACCTCAAAGCTGCAGCAACTGGTAGAAAAGATTGACCGGCAAGGAGCTGTGGCAGTGGCCTCTACTGCCTCGGGAGCCCCCACCACCTCGGCGCCTGCAACCTCGTCCCCCGCCTCGTCGGGACCTAACCAGTGTGTCATCTGCCTCCGGGTGCTGAGCTGTCCTCGCGCACTGCGCCTGCATTATGGCCAACATGGAGGTGAGCGGCCCTTCAAATGCAAAGTGTGTGGCAGAGCTTTCTCTACCCGGGGCAACCTGCGTGCACATTTCGTGGGCCACAAGGCCAGCCCAGCCGCCCGGGCCCAGAACTCCTGCCCCATCTGCCAGAAGAAGTTCACCAACGCTGTTACTCTGCAGCAGCATGTTCGGATGCACCTGGGGGGCCAGATCCCCAATGGTGGTACCACTCTCTCTGAAGGCGGGGGAGCTGCCCAGGAAAATGGCGCTGAGCAACCCACAGTCTCGGGGCCGGGGAGCTTCCCCCAGCAGCCGTCCCAGCAGCCGTCCCCGGAAGAGGAGTTGTCTGAAGAGGAGGAGGAGGACGAGGAAGAGGAGGAAGATGTGACTGATGAAGATTCCCTGGCAGGGAGAGGCTCAGAGAGTGGAGGCGAGAAGGCAATATCCGTGCGAGGTGACTCAGAAGAGGCCTCAGGGGCAGAGGAGGAAGTGGGGACCGTGGGGACCGCGGCGGCGGCGGCGGCGGCGGCGGCGGCCACCGCGGGGAAGGAGATGGAAAGCAATGAGAAAGTGATTCAACAGCCTTCCCTGCTGCCGCCGCCGCCACCACCACCCGACAGCCTGGATCAAACACAGCCCATGGAGCAGGGAGGCGGTGATGTTGCCGGAGGCATGGAAGAGGGGGCCAGAGCGGAGAGGAGCTCGAGCCCAACGGCAGCACTCAGCCGGGAAGGGGAAGGCAGCGGCAGTGCCTCGGTGGAGCTGAGCATGCAGGAGGCCATGAGAAAGGAGCCGGGCGAGAGCAGTAGCAGAAAGGCCTGCGAGGTGTGTGGTCAGACCTTTGTCACGCAGGCAGCCCTGGAGGAGCATCAGAAGACCCACCCCAAGGAGGGGCCGCTCTTCACTTGTGTTTTCTGCAGGCAGAGCTTTCTCGAGCGGGCTATCCTCAAGAAGCATATGCTGCTGGCTCACCACCAGGTACAACCCTTTGCCCCCCACGGCCCTCAGAATATTGCTGCTCTTTCCTTGGTCCCAGGCTGCTCACCTTCCATCACTTCCCCGGGGCTCTCCCCCTTTCCCCGAAAAGATGACCCCACGATCCCATGAGCCTATTTTTCGGTACCTGCTGCCCCTTGACCCAGGGAGCAGAAACCGAGAGCTCTGTAGAAGGACTTCTAAGATGTATGAGCCCTTATTTGTCTTTTTCTCTGAGTCCTTCTGTGATACCTCCCTAGTGGCTTTTCTCTAGTCCCCGAGCTTGGAAATAGTTGTGCTCACAGGGGGATGGCCCCCTGATGAATTTTTCTTCCCTCTTCACTCACTGTACCTGAGGAAAATAGATTCTCTACAGCTTTCACCTTCCCAAGGGGAACCCTCTCCAGCTTCCCTGGGGTGACCCTTCTCCCCTCTCCTTTCTTCCTCTCCCTTTCCCTTTGGCAGGTGCACCTGAGCACCCACATTTGGAATTGCAGCCCAGCCCGAAGGGGCCGGCAGCTGTCTCTGGAGGGCCCAGTGCCACTCCTCTCTGGTGACCAGGTCAACCTGCAGGACTTCCTATCCCAGGACATTCCTGTCCAACTGGTGAGGGTAGGTCCCCTGTCTTTCTGGAACCAGTACACAGCTTTCCTGTCAAGTGACCTGCCCACCAAGCCCCGGAGTTCCAGCTCCACTTCCAGTACCACTTTAGGCCTGGCGCCACCAGTGCTGTTTGGCCCGGGAACTGTGGCTGGGAACGTGCCTCCAGCAATGGGATCCAGAGAGGCCAAGGAGAAGAGAGCCCCCCTCTTCCTATTTCGGTCTCCTGCATCCAAGGCAGTGCCTAAGAAGCCCACCACAGAAGAAAAGTAGCAAACTGTACATTCCTTCTTTTCCCTGCTCCAGAAGGTGCCAGCAGTGAAGACACAACAATATCTGTATCTGGTGGCCCGGCCCTAAGGGGTAGGGGGAAATGAAGGGCAAATAGGACATTCTTCCCTGTACACTCCCGGTCAGGCGAAGGTGTTGGCTGATCAATATGCCAAGACACCTCCAGCTTCTATTCCTTCATCATAGCCTCTCAAAGCTAGGAAACAAGCAGATGTCTTGCCAACAGGTCTCCTGTGGAATATTTTGGGAACTGCGAAGTTCATATCTTTAAGAAGCATTATTGGTGAGGGGGGTTGAAAGAGTAATGATGGAGAGTTAAAGAGTGTTGCTAAAGCATAGGGCTTGCTGGGAACCTATGAGATTAAGAAAAGGGCATGGTGTGAGGGAGGGGACCTCCAATTCTTGACTGGATGGGTCTCATGAATGTTCTTTTGGACTATTAGTGACTTGGTGTGCAGCACTGCACCACAGGTCATAGGGGATTTCCTAGCACTAGTGTGCTTCTAGTTTTAGATAACTCCCTCCTTTATTCCCTGGCCCCTTGGATTTTCCTTGTCTTCCTTTCTCAAGGCCTATTTCCTCCCCCATTTTGCCTGTCTATGGACCAGGGCTTATGTCTTTGCCACTGTCTGGGTCTTAGAGTCCCAGACTTTGGGAGACGAGCTCTAGGTGGTGTTCTCCCTGCCTCTCCGTCTTGTAATGAGATGTAGTATTTACTCTTAACATAGGATCATTTGGAACAGGAGTTCTGAGGAGGAGAGAGTGAGAGTTCTGCTACTGACTGACTTGAATGATGGTTTCTCCTCCAAAGGTATAGGCTCCAGAGCTTCCTAACATAGTAAAATGTGAAGAGCAGACAAGGGAGATACTAGTGTCTTTCCCTTTTCATTAAAAGTGTTTTAACCAAATGTTTGTGTGCTTTTCCTTATTTCGTGATTAAATAGCCAGCTGGGGTGTGATATGGGCATTCCCTAACATTGAGATTCCCTTCCCACCTACATCTCCTGCCAAAGCTGAACATATGGTGTTGAAATATTTAATTTATTCAGCCTTGTCCTAAAACAACCTCCAGTGAATGTAATTTCCCTGTGGAAATGGAGTTTATGTTCTCAAAAAGTAAAGGATTTGTCCATTGTGTGCAGTCATTGTCTAGATTTTTTCTTTGCCTAGAACTTTCCACCACCAGGCTTTGGGGGGTCTTTTTTTGTTTGTTTGTTTTGTTTGGAGGTTAGAAGCTGTTTCTTTGTCTTTCCTGAACCTCAGGCTAGCCTACCTGACATCAGTTAATCTGCAGAACCAAGATGAATTAATCTTTATGATCCTTGAGATCTGATGTTATAAACAGGAAAAAAAGTAATTCAACACTAATAATTTCTACCAGCGGGATAATTTAAAGGAAGATTCTTAGCAGAGGAAGTACGTGTGGAGTGGCGGTGTGAAATGAAACATACATATTTTTTACCTTGTCTCTCCACAACTTGGTGAGGTTTAGATTTGACTCTAAGACCTTGTTTTTTTAGAGAACAGTCCCCAGAATTTTTTTATAATATGACTGAATGTTAGTGCTACATGGATGGGGCTGGTAAAATGGTTTGCCCAAAGTCACTCAGCCAATTAGTGGCAGACTTGGATTAAGGAACCCAGTGATCAGGGACAGTGCTTGTTTCCTGCTACACCATTTAAGACTCCTGATGTGAGACTGGCTGGAAGACCAAAAGGAGAAGGTGAGTAAACCTATTCTTGGCTCAATTCAAAGTAAAGAACCAACGTTTGATTCTAGTTGCCCCCACTAGAGCAGTACCGGTCCCCTTTAAAAGGTCTTGGTGAATAGGAATATGTGGGAATCTTGTGAAGTCAACTGGGGAAGAAACAGCTTCTGCCTCTTTAATTCCTAGCAAAGCTCTGTAAATCTTTTTCTCCTTTCAGCCTATGGAAGGAGGTAGGTCACCAATCCTATTCCATTTACCTCCCCTACCCCCACTGGACATGGATAATGCCATTTAAATAATTAAAGTAGACTTGCCCTCTCTTTATATGCCAGTTCCTATTATGGTAACAGCTGTTGGTAAGGCTTTGACTCGTGTATGGTAACAGCTGTTGGTAAGGCTTTGACTCGTGTATGGTAACAGCTGTTGGTAAGGCTTTGACTCGTGGATACTTCCTTAGGCAGGTCCGCACTGCGCCTGACTCCCCACACCCCTTCTTCATTGCTCTACTTTATTTTCCCTTCTGTCTCCTTTTTATTTTTATTCTCCTGTCCTGCTTTTTCTTCTTCGTTGACCTCTCTTATCTGACAGCTTTAATTTTTTTTTTCTCTCGTCACCTTTAATTTATTCTGTCTCTTAGAGCCTTTAGTTTCTTCCTTCTTATAGCCCCTCCAATCCCCACCCTCAGCCTCCCATTTCTCACTCTCAATCACTTTTCATTTGATCATCTTTTCAGAAGGTGAATGAACTCTAACTTGCTGGAACGAGAATGTAAATAAATGTGGCTTGCAAAACACTTAAATAAATATAGTGGATCCAGTTCAAACTGGATGGATGCAAAGCATCCATCCATATTATTAAAGGCAGATTTGCTCATTCATTCAGTTAATTTCTGAGGATTTATTTTGTTTCAGAGACCAAGTGTTGGGCGGGTCCAAAAGTAAGTAAGACACTTCTGCCCCTATGGGAGCTCAGTCTAAGATGAAGAAAAATACAAACATTTTTATATGGTGGTGTGGTAGTAAATAGTATGATAGACACAAACAATGGCCTGCAGGTTCCCAGAGAGGGAAATAACTCATAATGCAAAGATGGAGAAGGGGGAGAGGGTGTACAATTCTCTTGAATTCAACTTTCATAATAACCACTCAAATATATTAATAATCCATTCAACAACCTAAGGACCAATGCAGTTATCATTTAAGAACCTATGTAAGAGGGGCACCTGGGTGGCTCAGTCGGTTAAGTGACTGCCTTCGGCTCAGGTCATGATCCTGGAGTCCCGGGATCGAGTCCCACATCGGGCTCCCTGCTCGGTGGGGAGTCTGCTTCTCCCTCTGACCCTCTTCCCTCTCGTGCTCTCTATCTCTCATTCTCTCTCTCTCTCAAATAAATAAATAAATAAATCTTAAAAAAAAAAAAAAAGATCCTATGTAAGATATGCCAAGTCCCCTTTGGCAGATACAGAGATGTGCTGCTTTAGAGGTTCCCCTTTAAGGAAGAACTGGCTACCTAGCTGCAAGAAGCCTGATTCACTGACATCCTTCAACCGCTCCACTCTTCAGCTCTGGCCAAAGACTGAGCAAGATGGTGAGTGGTACAGGAGCTTAGGCATTTCCATGAAACATGGCACTCTAATGAGCGTTTTTACTCTGGAATTCCCCGTTGGACTGGCAGAGATGGTCAGGTCTGCCTCATAGTCTGACAGTTCTTCCTGCTCCAAACTGCTTTTACCCCCTTTTCCTTTTACAGGTGTTACTCCCCATTAATACTTTTGGAATCTTAATTCTGCCTTCCATCTGGTTCTTGGAGTTTTCAACCTGTATTACTCATGAAAAAGGCCTAGATTCTATTGGCACATTTTCATCTTTCACAAACTCCTACTCCTGAGGCTCTGGTTACCATTACTGGAACTTGTTAGTAAACCAAGGAGTGTGTGTCTCCTGACCAGCAAGACAGACTTCACTAGTATTACTCTCAATTAGACCCAACTTTGACTTTTCTTCTCCTTGTTTTTTTCTAATGTTTTAACTTTTTTTTTTTAAAAGATTTTATTTATTTATCTGACAGACACAGCGAGAGAGGGAACACAAGCAGGGGAAGAGGGAGAGGGAGAAGCAGGCTTCCCGCGGAGCAGGGAACACGATGCGGGACTCGATACCAGGACCCTGGGATCATGACCTGAGCCGAAGGCAGACGCTTAACGACTGAGCCACCCAGGCGCCCCAGTTTAACTTTTTTTTTAAGATTTATTTATTTAGGGGTGCCTGGGTGGCTCAGTCATTAAGCGTCTGCCTTTGGCTCAAGTCATGATCTCAGGGTCCTGGGATCAAGCCCCGCATCGGGCTCCCTGCTCAGCGGGAAGCCTGCTTCTCCCTCTCCCACTCCCCCTGCTTGTGTTCTTGCTCTCCCTATCTCTCTCTCTGTGTCAAATAAATAGATAAAATATTTTTTTAAAAAAAGGTTTATTTGAGAAAGAGAGCATGAGTAGGGGGGAAGGGCAGAGGGCGAGGGAAACAAGCAGACTACTCGCTGATCAGGGAGCCTGACTCTGGCTCGATCCCAGGACTCTGAGATCACGACCTGAGCCAAAATCAAGAGCCAGATGCCCAACTGGCTGAGCCACCCACGCACCTCTTTTATTTTTTTGAGATTTTTTTTAAACTAATCTCTACATCCAACGTGGGGCTTGAACTCATATCCCTGAGATCAAGAGTCGCATGTTCTTCTGACTGAGCCAGCCAGGCGCCCCTCTAATGCTTAATTTAATAACAGATTGACTATCCCCAGTGGACATTTTGCTTTTGATTGTATAATAAAAATTGGGTAAGAAAAAAACTTAAGGGGGCACCTGGGTGGTGGCTCAGTCATTAAGCATCTGCCTTCAGCTCAGGTCATGATCCCAGCATCCTGGGATCGGGCCCCGCATCGGGCTCTCTGCTCAGTGGGAAGCCTGCTTCTCCCTCTCCCACTCCCCCTGCTTGTGTTCCTGCTCTTGCTATCTCTCTCTCTGTCAAACAAATAAAATCTTAAAAAAGAAAAAGAAAAAAAAAAACTTAAGGAAAAAACCATTTGACTAAAGAACAAGTAAGAAGTTCAGTAGTATTTGGTCAGTATTGTGGATGTTTCAGTAATCCATTGTTACGCAACAAACCATCCCAATACTTAGTCTCTTAAACAATAATTATATAGTTGCCTATGATTCCATGAAGTGTCTAGGCAGGCCTCAGATAGGATGTCTTGTCTATGTTCCATGTAGTGAAGGTTGAGCTCACTTGGGCAACTCTGATTTGGGCTGGAGGATCCAAGATGGCTTCATTCACTTTTGGCCCTTCAGCTGAGTGGCTGGAATGTTGGGGCCTCTTTCTTTATTGTCTTTTCATCCTGTGGGCCCCTTTCCCTTTCAAGTCTTTCAATCTCTAGGATATCTCTCTCTTTCTCTCTCTCAGGGTAAATGGGCTCCCATGATGACCCAGGTCTCCAAGAAGGTAAAAGCAGTGCAAGCTGCAAGGCTCTTAAGGCCTAGGCTCTGAAACTCAAAGAATATCACTTCTGCTACATTCTGTTGGCCAAACTAGTCAAAAGGCCTGCTCGGATCCAAGAGGAAAGAAAATAAGCTTTACCTCTTAAAAGGAAGAGTGGCAAAGTCACCCTGCATAAAGGCATATGGGATGGGAAGCACTGCGACTAACTCTAGAAACAATCTACCACAGCAGATATGAAGAAAAGTTAAGAAATGTAGTGCATACAGCACTCATCTGCTCACAAGTAGGCTTGCACTCTGTCTTGACTAGAAGAGGTTTGGGTGAGGTTCCTTTCCCTATGCACTGCTCAGGATTGTATGCAGACTGGCTAAGAGTGGGCAGAAAACTGGTCATGAGGAGTCTAGAAAGAATCCCCCTATAAGCAGAGCATGCTGAGTGGCCCTCCTATGCTCCTAAAATTTGCCTGATTTACTACTGTAATAATTTACCCAAAGTGAATGTGAAAGCAAAGACTTCTGGAAGCTGCCCTTGATTTGGTTGACTTTCAGGAATATCTGTGCTACTTCTTTGGCTTCTTCTGTAGGTAAGGGGAGGCAATACAGGCCTTAGATATCTTGAATTCTACCAGAGACTGAATCTCTTCCACTAGAAAATCCTTCCTTTCCTAGACAAAAATGCTTATATTGTTTAGGGGTTTAACCTATGGAATTCCATCTTCAAGATGAATCAACTCCTTTCTTCTACAAGGCTATGTCCAATACTCTTTTCTCCCCCGAGACTATTTAACTTAACTGCTATATGATTTCTATATATTTTATTTCTATATGTTAAGGATCTTGAAAGAAAGTGATCTTACAACAAGTGAGGGATTCAGATTTGTGAACAATGAACTCTTAACAATTTTTTTAATGGATTTTAGGTTTTGGGTTTTTTTAAAGTATTTTATTTATTTATTTATTTATTTGAGAGACAGCACAGAGGGAGAGTGAGAGGGAGAAGCAGACTCCCCACTGGGTAGGGAGCCCAATGCGGGCTGGGTCCCAGGACCCTGAGACCACAACCCAAGCCGAAGGCAGACACCTAACTGAGCCACCCAGGCGGCCCTTAACAATTCTATAATATAGGTGTGCCTGGGTGGCTCAGTCAGTTAAGTGTCTGCCTTCAGCTGAGGTCATGATCCCAGGGTCCTGGGATTGAGCCCCAGGTTGGGCTCCCTGCTTACCAGGAAGCCTGCTTCTTTCCCTCCCTCTGCTTATGCTCTCTCTCTCTCTCTCTCTTTGTCAGATAAAAAAAAAAAATCTGTAATATAGCATTAATGGTATTATCTTACTTCAGGAATGATACATGTGTCTAAACATAGGGCCACACAGGCTACATCCCAAACGAAAGTACAAAACCATCCCTTGTCCACTTTCTTGGCAGTTGCTAGACCCAGGTCCTTAAAGGAAGCCAAAACCCTTAGGTAGAGCAGTCCCCTTGAGTAGTCTTCCATGATCTCGTATCAGCCAACTTTTCCAAGAGTATTTCAGCTGAGGAAGATAGCATTTTCCTTTTAATTAAGTATAATCCCGAGAATTAAATGTCCAGAGATACTCTTGTGAGCCCATATACATTTCTGTGTCCTCTGCTTGAAGGCTCACATATAAAGTCATGCATCTCAACAAACAAACAAACACACAAAGTTACACATCTCAAAAGATGGTGTAAATTGCCTAGTAAGTATATTAAATTGAGAAAAAAGGTTGGAAATGAATATTTTGATCACTACTAAATCTTTGCTGAATAAATGGATGAAACTGCTACATTCCAATACACATACATCTTTCTTCTCAATAGCCCCCACTTCTCATATTCACCCATTCCTTTCCTACTATGGATAGTAATATCCATAACCAGCTTCTGAGTTAATTAAAGGCCCTATCACCAAACACCGGTTGAAATAAGCTACTAACTGGGGTGCTTTGCGGGCTCTACTGGTAGAGCATGTGACCCTTTAATAGTTGTTTTTTTTTTTTTTAAGATTTTATTTATTTATTTGACAGAGAGAGAGATAGAGATCACAAGTAGGCAGATAGGCAGGCAGGCAGGCAGAGGGAGAGGGAGAAGCAGACTCCCTGCTGAGCACGGAGCCCGATGCAGGGCTCTATCCCGGGACACTGGGATCATGACCTGAGCTGAAGGCAGACGCTTAACCGACTGAGCCACCCAGGCACCCCAAGGGGTTTTGGGTTCAAGCCCCACCTTGCGCATAGAGCCTACTTAAAAAAAAAAAAAAAAAAGGCTACTATTTTCCCTGTCTCTAAACTCTACTTCCTCCCCATCTCAATCCAACTAGAACACTAGATTAATCTTTAAAGAGCTGCCTATTCCCAAACCCTAAAGTGCTCCCTGCTGTATTCTGAATTAATTCCAACTTCTTTACTAAGGTAACATGTACCTTTTTCCATCTGGCCTCAAATATGGAAACATAAATGACCTCCTAAATTCTCTAATGTAATTCTCTTTGTTTTAGCAAACCAATCTGGATAGGCAGGACATACATCATAATTTCCTAACTCTAGATCTTTTTTTTTTTATCATGTCCTCAGCCTGGAATTTTCTCCTATAGCTTCATCTGTTGAAGCCATAGCTGTCATTTCAAGCCTGAACCTTTTTATTTTAAGTCGGCTCCACCCCTTGATCCCAGGACCCGGGGCTGGGGAGGCAGATGCTCAACCGACTGAGCCTCCCAGGTATCCCCAAATAAAATCTTAACAACAACAACAACAAAGATATCTGTGCACCATCAGTCCTCCTCTTTTTCTTTTTTAAATAAATGTGGTTTTTAAAAAAAACTGAGAGACGGGCAGGTGGTGGTGGGGGGAGGCAGAGAGAGAGGGGAAGGGAAAAGCAGACACCCTGTTGAACAGGGACCCAGCCATGTGGCTAGACACCAGGACCCTGGCATCATGACCTGAACCTAAGGCAGATGCTTAACCAATTGAGCTACCCAGGAGCCCAGTCCTCCTTCTCTTTCAAAGAAGGGCGCCTCCAGGCACACACCCATAGACTGTAAACCAACGTAATAGCTGTATCTTTTTTTTTTTTTAAGATTTTATTTATTTGACACAGAGAGAGACAGCGAGAGAAGGAACACAAGCAGGGGGAGAGGGAGAAGCAGGCTTCCCGCAGAGCAGGGATCCCCACGCAGGGCTGGATTCCAGGACCCTGGGGTCATGACCTGAGCTGAAGGCAGAAGCTTAACGACTAAGCCCACCAGGCGCAGCCTAATAGCTGTATCTTTATAAATAAATGCATGAAAACATAAAACGGCAACATCTACAGCGGAAAAGGTATGTTAGTATCTAACTGTCAAAAGGAATTAGTTGTCTTTCATTTTAAAAATCTGTACCACTGGGGCACCTCACTGGCCCAGTCAGTGGAGCATACAACTCTTGATCTCCATGTGATGAGTTCAAGCCCCATGTGGGGTGTAGAGATTACTTAAAAATAAAATCTTTACAAAATAAATAAAAATCTGTACTACACTTGCTGCTTTATTAGTGCTGTCTTAAACCTTGGTCAACTCCTTACATCCAACATGGCCGCATGCGCCTCTATAAGCAACATGGCTGTTCTGCCAGGCACTAATATGGAAACCACAGCTTCACCGCGCCCGGAAGAACGGGGGAGCTCCTATTAAAAATATTTCCGCCATCCTGCCAACACCTAAGGTGGCTCTCATTTGAGCTTCAAAGCGAGCGGGAAACGGAAAATGACTTCCCGGCTAGCGAATTACCCGGAACTCTTTCCGGTTAGCCTTGGGGTGTCCGCGGGAGAATTGGAGATTTCCTGCTTTTGGGGCTGGGAGGTGCTAGTCCACCGCGCCTGATTCGAGACGTGTCCCGGCTGAGAGACTAGGATGTCGGACACGTGGAGTTCTATCCAGGCCCACAAAAAGCAGTTGGACTCGCTGCGAGAGAGGCTGCAGCGGAGGCGGAAGCAGGACTCGGGGCACTTGGGTGAGGCGCGGGGTTGTCCGGGCCGAGGTTTAGCCAGGGAGGGCGGGAGGGAACCCTGGAGAAAAAGAGCTCCCAAGTCAGCACCCTTTCCCAAGCGGCCATTTCTTTAATACCTGGTACATCGTACTCTCCTCTTCACCCTCAGCACATAGACCCTTCGTCCTCCTGTACGTAGTCGTAGTTCCGTTCCACCTCGGGCCTTGGTTCCTCCAGTTCACTTTCTCGGGACAGAAGCCTGGTCCTCACCACCCCACCCCACCCTCGTCCGCTTGGCAGACTCCTCTTTAAGTCTGTGGGAACGTTGCCTTTGCTAGGCCTCTCAGCCCCCCATCCCTTGAAACAGTTAAGCCCCCCCCCCTTTTTTGCTCCTATGGCGCTTTGTTCTTCCGTTATAGCGACTGCTTTGTAGTGGTCGTTTCTTTGCCACTGTAGCCACCATGAGAGCTCGGACCGAACCTTTGTATCCACAGTGACCAGCTCAGGGACCCTCACAGAGTTGCTAAATGAGTAGAAGAAATGGCATTGTCTTAGCCATCTACGTCCCAAGCAGAAACCTGAAAATAATTTGTTTTTAAACTTTTTCTCCCCTCCCGTTGCCCTCTGTGTCACAAAACTTGAAGGAACCTCAAATGATTGTCCAGTTTTATCTACCCCTATCCCCAGCACAAGCCTTGGATTATTTAAAACAAATAAGTTATAAAGATCTACAAGGATAGTGAATCCATACCATCCTTGTGGTAGTTCCAATGTTTATTAATATACTGGAGTCCATCTCTAAATCTTGTCTTGGTACATATCAGGTCCATGTGCTCATGTTCTGGCCCCTGGAACCTAGAAGATGTTCTGTCAGGTCTTTGACACCATAATAAACAAACATCTGTTAAGTGTTTACAGTGTGCCTAACAAAAAATGGACAAAGATAAGTGACATACTGTCTCTGCTCTCAGGGAGTTTAAAATTTAGGAGGGATAAAGGATTGATGCTTATAAAAAAAATTCAAATGCTTATAAAAAATTCAGAACTATGATATGATATATGTGAAATGCTGAATCAATGAATCCACAATAAGTATAGACAGGGAAGGGAAAAGTAACAAGAGTTGGCTTTATTTGCAAAGGCAACATGAGTTAGTTAGCACTTGTGATTTGATCTTGATGGCTACATAGGACTTAGATAATTAAAGAGAAGTTAAGAGGGCAGGGCAAGTAGAGGAAGAAGTACAAGCCCTATGAACGGAGATTAATTAGTAGTCAATTTTAAGTTCCATTTCACTTTTCCATGGTAATAACCACACTTTGGTATTAACCAGACTTTGTGCCATGTGCAAACCTAACTATTAGAGTGTCGATACTTCAGTTTCGTGCTAAGCATGTTTAATAATTTTGACAACAAGATTGTATTCTCCCTTGAATGTAAATATTCTTTTTTGGGGGGGTATAAGTATCTCTTGACTTAATCTCTTGGCCCACTTAATATATGGTTAAGATTCCTAGTACATCTGCCTAAAGAATATGGTTAGGACTTATATAAAAATATTTTTAATAATTTTTTGTTGTTATGTTAATCACCATACATTACATCATTAGTTTTTGATGTAGTGTTCCATGATTCATTGTTTGTGTATAACACCCAGTGCTCCACACAGAACGTGCCCCCCTCAACACCCATCACCAGGCTAACCCATCCCCCCACCCCCCTCCCCTCTAGAACCCTCAGTCTGTTATGAAAATATTTTTAAGGTTGTGCTTAAACGTATTGTTGGGCGCCTGGGTGGCTTAGTCGTTAAGAGTCTGCCTTTGCCTCAGGTCATGATCCCAGGGTCCTGGGATTGAGCCCTGCATAGGGCTCCCTGCTCAGCAGGAAGCCTGCTTCTCCCTCTCCCACTCCCCCTGCTTGTGTTCCCTCTCTCACTGTGTCTCTCTCTGTCAAATAAATAAATAAAATCTTTAAAAAAAAAAAAAAATGTATTGTCTTCTGGCCCAGAGCTTTGGCTGGCCCATCTGGTACTGTGGGAGTAGATAGAGATAAAACACAAAATAAACCAGCCTATCACTGTTCTTTCTTTGAATTATTTTGGTTATTCCAAAGCATCTATTTCTTTGAGCATCAGGATTCTTAGGAAAACGTGAGACATACTCTCTTAGTTTATTAATCAAGTTTCCATGTAAGAATAACCAAAGGCTTGCTAATAATTTAGATGATTTCATTCTTTTCCTGCAGGAAATAAAAATTTTCTTACTACCTCTTGATTTTTATAGCATTAGTGAAATCTGATAGTTAATTGTTTACTACAAAGCTCAGTGAGAAAAGACAAGGATATTAAGTGAACTAAAATGTATCCATATCATTAATGAATGCAAATACCATGAACAAAGAATCACTGGGAGACCTTCCTTAGTTTGGCATTTTTAAAGTACATTTTTTTTTCCAATAGGTTTATGGCCTTCATGGTAGTGATGGTTTCATGGGTGTGTAACCTTATTTCCAAACTCATAAAGTTATATCTGTTAAATATATTAAGCTTTTTACATGTCAGTCATACCTTAAAGTGGCTTGTTTATTTATTTTCCCTTAAGGTGGTTTAAAAAAAAAGGTGTAGTAGGTATTATCTATAGGGAGCTTAGGCCTTTTTTTTTTTTAAGATTTTATTTATTTATTTATTTATTTATTTGAGAGAGAGAGAAACAGCATGAGAGGGGAGAGGGTCAGAGGGAGAAGCAGGCTCCCCACTGAGCCGGGAGCCCGATGCGGGACTCAATCTCAGGACTCCGGGATCACGACCTGAGCCGAAGGCAGACGCTTAACCATCTGAACCACCCAGGCGCCCAGGCCTTTTACAATTTTTATTTAGATATTTTTTATTATTTTTTAGGTCTTTATTTTTTTTTAAAGGTGTATTTAGAGAGAGAGGGCCTGCCATTGAGTGGGGGGAGAGGCAGAGGGAGAGAATCTTCTAGCAGACTCCCCGCTGAGCACGTGGCCTGATGTGGGGCTTGATCTCATGACCCATGAGATCATGACATGAGCGAAAACCAAGAGTTGGATGCTTAATCTACTGAGCCACCGTGGTGCCATAGCCATTTTTTAACAAACAAAATAAAGCTCATATTAATGGCAGCAAGATATGTAAGGTACCTGGCACAAAGTTTGAACATGAATTAAGGGGGAGGGGTAACGGATAATTTATGGCTTACCTAAAATATTAAAAATTTCAGAGCTGCATAACAGAGGACCTGTATCCTGGGTATTGACTTAAAACTTACCCACATCTTCCTTTAGCCCCATTTTCTGTTAACAGCAGCTAATATGATTTACTCCCTTTGGCATACTGTAGGAGTTAAAAATATATAATAAGTTATATTAGTATATAATGTATAAAACAAATAAATATATGAATAATGAGTTATATCAGTATATAATAATGAGTTACATCAGTAGATAACATATAGAACAATTTGTGGGGGGCGCCTGGGTGGCTCAGTCGATAGGCGTCTGCCTTCGGCTCAGGTCATGATCCCAGGGTGCTGGGATCAAGCCCCACATCGGGCTCCCTGCTCAGTGGGAAGCCTGCTTCTCCCTCTCCCTCTGCAGCTCCCCCTGCTTGTGCTCGCTCTGTCAAATAAATAAACAAAATTAAAAAGAAGAACAATTTGTGGGTGTAATGCCTGAAATCCTAAGTATAAAGATTTTATTTATTTATTTGAGAGAGAGAGAGCATGTGCACAGGTGCACGAGAGCATGGGGGGAGGGGCAGAGGGAGAGGGAGAAGCAGACTCCCTGCTGAGCAGGGAGACTGAGGTGGGTCTCCATCCCAGGACCCTGGGATCATGACCTGAGCCGAAGGAAGATGCTTAACTGACTGAGCCACCCAGGTGCCCCTCTGAAATTCTGAAATCCTAATTTTTTTTTTTTTTAAAGATTTTATTTATTTGTCAGAGAAAGAGAGCGCTTGTGCATGCACAAGCACAAGCAGGGGGAAAAGCAGGCAGAGGCAGAAGCAGGCTTCCCGCCGAGCAAGGAGCCTGATGCGGGACTCAATCTCAGGACCCTGGGATCATGACCTGAGCAGAAGGCAGACACTTAACTGACTGAGCCACCCAGGCATCCCTGAAATCCTGATTTTATTTTTTTAAAGATATTTATTTATTTGAGAGAGAGAGACAGAGATAGCGACAGAAATAGCACAAGCAGGAAAGGGAGAAGCAGGCTCTCCACTGAGTAGGGAGCCCAACGTGGGGCTCGATCCCAGGACCCTGAGATCATGGCCTGATCTGAAGGCAGGCGCTTAACCAACTGAGCCACTAGGCGCCCCGAAATCCTAATTTTAGAGTACCTTGTTTCTTCTGCCTTAAAAATGATACTTATTATTGATTGTGCTTCAGTTGCTTAATGAAATAAGTTTTTGGTTACTTCAAAATATTTTAAAACTTGACTGATTTTAAAAAAAATCTCAGAGTTTTATCCCAGTGTAAATTGTAATTGGGGTATTTAGCTCAATTAGCTCAAGTTTATTAGACTCCTAGAATCTCTGAATTGCAAGGACTTCAGCAGTCATCATTCAATCCTGTTCAGTGCAGAAATTTTGCCTGTAGTCTTCCAATTAAGCTAAATAATAATTGTCACTTATATTTCTTACATATTTTTAGCTTGGGTCCGTTGCTCTTGAATTCTTTCTTGTCCCGACCTTGAAAGTGCTTCAGGGATCTCCACATATACAGTACCTCTTTGCCAAACAAAACAAGGAACTTGTATCAGTTCATCTGGCAAATGTTCTACTCTTAAGATTTAGCAGAACATAAAGGAATCATAAGCAAAGTGAACAAAGTTCTGTCAGTTTTTTTTTTTAAAGATTTTAGTTATTTGACAGAGAGAGAGAGGGAACACAAGCAGGGGGAGTGGGAGAGGGAGAAGCAGGCTTCCCGCGGAGCAGGGAGCCTGATGTGGGGCTTGATCCCAGGACCCTGGGATCATGACCTGAGCTGAAGGCAGATGCTTAACGACTGAGCCGCCCAGGCGCCCCAGTTCTGTCAGTTATTTAACATTTCCAGCTAGTATGGTATTGTGGAGTCTGTTTTCCAAATAGGGTGTAACTTATTTTCATAAAATATAACTGTTCCAGCAAGGTGTTTGATATAGTTCAGCTCCATTTTCCTTGGAATTTGTGAGTCCAATTTTACTAAAGTCAATTCCATTAGAGTAAAAATGTTTAAGTAACCAAAATATTTCTAAATGTAAACTAATGATCCACTTATATCTTATAACATTTAACAGAATTCTGGTACAAGTCCAGAGCTAAATATTTCATTTGTATTTTATTTTTTTAAGATTTTATTTTTGTGAGTGAGAGAGAGCACAAGCGGGGGGAGGAGCAGAGGAAGAAGATGACTCCCCACTAAGCAGGGAGCCAGACGAGGGGCTCGATCCCAGGACCCTGGGACCATCACCCGAGCCGAAGGCAGACACTTAACGATTGATCCACCCAGGTGCCCTTCTGCAAAGTTTTATAAAATTCTTGTGTTTGAGTGTTAGAGGTCACATTCTAGGGACACCTGGCTGGCTCAGGCAATAGAGCGCACAACTCTTGATTTGGGCTTGTAAGTTTGAGCCCCATGTTGGGTGTAGAGATTACTTAAAAACAAAATCTTTAATAAAGAAAAAGGTCCTAATCCTCAACACTGTCATTTTACATATCCTCTGGTGTCCAGTGGCCTTAATTCTTTAAAATTCAAACTCCATTCCTCAGAAGAGCTGATAGGTTGTTGAAAATTTCTGGCTTTAAAATTTGGGTTATTATTTAAAAGATTTTTTTTTAAAAGGTTTACTATTAGCACTTATGTGCAAGCAAGCTGGGGGAGGGGCCTCTTTAGCAGATTCCCCACTGAGCTTGGAGCCCACCATGGGGCTCAAACTCAGGATCTTGAGATCATGACCTGAGGTGAAATTAAAAAGAGTTGGGATGCTTAACCACCCAGGCGCCCCTAAATTTGGGTTATTTCAGTTGTCATTCGAGTGCCTGAAGGGAGGTGGTATGGACATTTAAATCTACCATGCTGCTAATTTCCTTTGAACTACAGCAGAGACTGGAATTAGGAAAATACCTCTTACTCAGTAGAGAAAAGGTAAGTGGTTCACAGAAAATCCAGGATTATCTTGGCAAAGTAGTGAATGCTTGAGTATGATTGAGGAAAGGTGATCTAGTGCTAAATTTGGTCAGAGAATTCTCTTCATGAAGTGAAAGTACATGCTGTGAATGTTGGAGAATTTGACTCCTGAGCAGTGTCTAGACAGACCTACAGTCTTTGTCCTTTATCGTTTTCTTCACTCCTAGATCTACGAAATCCAGAGGCAGCACTGTCTCCCACCTTCCGCAGTGACAGCCCAGTGCCTACTGCACCCACTTCTGGTGGCCCTAAGCCCAGCACAGCTTCAGCAGTTCCTGAACTAGCTACAGACCCCGAGTTAGAGAAGAAATTGCTACACCATCTCTCTGATCTGGCCTTAACATTGCCCACTGATGCTGTGTCCATCCGTCTTGCCATCTCCACGGTAATGATCTGATAAGACAGGGTTAGGATATACCACTTACTTTGCTTCAGTTCATGGTCAGTGTCTTACTGTCTTTCCCTCTCCTCCTTCCCTAGCCAGATGCCCCTGCCACTCAAGATGGGGTAGAAAGCCTCCTACAGAAGTTTGCAGCTCAGGAGTTGATTGAGGTAAAACGAGGTCTCTTACAAGATGACGCACATCCCACTCTTGTGACCTATGCTGATCATTCCAAGCTCTCTGCTATGATGGGTGCTGTGGCAGAAAAGAAGGGCCCTGGGGAGGTAACAGGGACTATCACAGGGCAGAAGCGGCGTGCAGAGCAGGACTCAACCACAGTAGCTGCCTTTGCTAGCTCTTTGGCCTCTGGCCTGGCCTCTACAGCATCAGAAGCAGCCAAGGAGCCAACCAAGAAATCAAGGAAACATGCTGCCTCAGATGTTGATCTGGAGATAGAGAGCCTTCTGAACCAACAGTCTACTAAGGAACAACAGAGTAAGAAGGTAGGGGTAGATGGAAATGCTTTAACACATATACTTTGTTTCTTTGTTTTTTTTAAAGATTTTATTTTTATCTTATTTATTTTTTTTTAATTTTTAGATTTTATTTATTTCACAGAGAGACACAGCGAGAGAGGGAACACAAGCAGGGAGAGAGGGAGAGGGAGAAGCAGGCTTCTTGCTGAGCAGGGAGCCTGATGTGAGGCTCAATCCCAGGACCCTGGGATCATGACCTGAGCTGAAGGCAGACGCTTAACAACTGAGCCACCCAGGTGCCCCTTAAAGATTTTATTTTTAATAATCTCTACACCCATTTTGGGGCTCAGACTTACAACCCCAAGATCAAGAGTTAAATGCTCTACCAACTGAGCCAACCTGGCACTCCTCACATATACACTTTGAATTACAGCTTTGGTTGGGAGGGATTTACCCCTAGGGCAAGGAGCAGTTCTTAGGATTGAGGGTTTAGAATAGTGGTTGTCAACTGGGGATTATTTTTCCCCACTTCCTTCCCCCGGAGAACATTTAGCAATCAATGTCTGAAGACACTGTGGTTGTCACAACACAGGGTCGTGCTACAGGCATCTACTGGGTAGAGGCAAGTGATACTGTTAAGCATCCTACAATCATAGGATAATCCCCACATGACAAAGAACTACTTCCGCCAAATGTCAATAAAGCCAATGTTGAGAAACTCCGATTTTGAGAATGTTTGTCATTGGAAGAAGCATCAGGTAAACGGAAGTGAACCCAAATATAGGAACAGAGGGAGATGAATGGAGATCAGTACTGGAAGGTAGTTACCATGGACCATTAATTATGGAAACTGATTACTAAACAGTGTGAATTGGCAGTTAACTGTGGTTCTCAATATAAATAATGGACTCACATGAATTCTTACCCATTTGCTACTTCTACATGTGTAAATATGGACAAGTTAAATTTAACTTCTCTTGAGCCTTGGTCTTCTCATCTGTAAGGTGAGGATAACCAGAGTAACCTCCCTTACAGAACTGTTGCATACTCAGCTGAACAGTGAAGTGCTTAGTACTTACTGTGTCTTGATTATGTAAATATAAGTGGTTTTGGTGGGAAGGATTGCTTTCCTGGGGAGGAGAGGTTAACTTAATGCTTAGCAGTAGGAACCAGGCTTCATATATTTTAATTCCATCCCAAATGCAGATCTGTAAGAAAGGACTGAACCCATGACAAATCTTCTAGAACTCCCAATTTTCCCGTATTAGGTTAGCTCATTCACCTCTTAGAACAGGACATTGTCAAGTAGAATTTAGGGAGGTGGTTTAGGGCTCATTTTATCTGCAAACCCTTTTAAGTCTAAGGCTTCTTTTGTCACAGGTCAGTCAGGAGATCCTAGAGCTATTAAATACAACAACAGCCAAGGAGCAGTCCATTGTTGAAAAGTTTCGCTCACGAGGTCGGGCCCAAGTACAAGAGTTCTGTGACTATGGAACCAAGGAGGAGTGCATGAAAGCCAGTGATGCTGACCGGCCCTGCCGCAAGCTGCACTTCAGGTGTCTTGGGAGGGAGAGAGGTGGGGTGGGGCTCCCAGAAGCACTCATTCCTTTTCAGCACATTTTTCCAGTCACTGGGGTTCTGTCTTTGATCCTGTCATTAAATGGTTGTTTTTTTTTTTTTAAAGATTTATTTATTTATTTATTTATTTGACAGAGAGAGAGAGAGACAGCGAGAGAGGGAACACGAGCAGGGGGAGTGGGAGAGGGAGAAGCAGGCTTCCCGCAGAGCAGGTAGCCCGATGCGGGGCTCGATCCCAGGACGCTGGGATCATGACCTGAGCCGAAGGCAGACGCTTAACGACTGAGCCACCCAGCCGCCCCCATTAAATGGTTTTAATGATTTGTCTTAGACCTCCAGATTCTGAAGGTGTACTTTCAGAAGTAGTGTTCTGTGGGAGAGAATACAGACTGCACTCCCAAACAGATGTGAGATTTTTTTAAATAATGTCCCATTCTTGCATTAGTAAGGCATCTCTGTCTCTGAGGCCCAGTAAAAGTTAAAATTCTCTGGAAGGATGATCTTAGAAGTAGGAACTTGGGCTCTAAGGCCATTGTTTTATTCAGCTTTAACCAGCAAGCCCTTTTTCCTGTCCTAAGAAAGTTGTCTTTGCTCAGAGAGGAATTAAATTCTTCTTTAGTGTGCATTATGGATTTCCATGTTACCTGCTTCCTTTCTCTGCAAACTCTTGGAGGAAGCTCTAAAGATAAAATTAGGAGAGGGTAATAAAGGACAAAATTTTGAAATAGTTTGGAACTTGAACTATGGGATCTAAAAATGGAACACCATCTTGATTCTCATTCTCCCTTTTTATCTTCCCAGACGAATCATCAATAAACACACTGATGAGTCATTAGGTGACTGCTCTTTCCTTAACACATGTTTCCACATGGATACCTGCAAATATGTTCACTATGAAATTGATGCTTGCATGGATTCTGAGGCTCCTGGGAGCAAAGACCATACACCTAGCCAGGAGCTTGCTCTTACACAGAGTGTTGGAGGTGACTCCAGTGCAGATCGACTCTTCCCTCCTCAGGTACCTGTCCACTCAGAAAACTTATTTCAATTTATGTACTTATATCTGAGTAGGGCAGCCATACATGTAGGAAAGCAGGCATAATCAGCAATCTATCTTACTGATTGGGAATGGTGTGGGATATACATATTTATAATGGAATAGGAAAATCAAATGGAAAAGAGGGACTGGGGCCATGAATCTGAGAGTGAAGGAAGGAAAGATGACCAAATACCACCTCATGCAGTGGATCTGTTGTGATATCCGCTACCTGGACGTCAGTATCTTGGGCAAGTTTGCAGTTGTGATGGCTGACCCACCCTGGGATATTCACATGGAGCTGCCCTATGGGACCCTGACAGATGATGAGATGCGCAGGCTCAACATACCAGTACTGCAGGATGATGGCTTTCTCTTCCTCTGGGTCACAGGCAGGTAATGGAGTTCAAAGATATGTAGGTATGGGCAGATAGTACAGAGTGAGTACTGGGTGGGAATAAAATCCTGGGTTTTCCTAGCCCTGCTATTAACTGTATGACTATATCTGTATAGCCTTTTTTGCTACTGAGACCTAATGCCTGTATATAACACAAATGATACCTGAATTATATTTAACTTTACATCTGTTCCTTATGAAAGGTAAGGCCATTGAGAATAGATACTGTTTTATGTTTTCATTCTTAGATCCATCCTGTTGCCCTAACGGTGTCTTGCATGTAAATGTTCACTGAATGTCTACTGAGAACATTTCGGTATCTTGAAGGGATAAAAAATACAGACATGAAAGCAGCTGTTTAACCCTTTTCTTTTTAGGGCCATGGAGCTGGGCAGAGAATGTCTGAACCTCTGGGGGTAAGTAGTGATCATTGTGTTGCTTTCTATTGAAGGAAATAGAAATGTAATTGCTGTAGTTGAGATGTGTTCTCTTCTCCCAGAGTATTCCCTATGAGTCCTTTTCCTCTGTAGAGTAGATGGTACTACCCCTCAACTGTGAAAGCCTGATTAAAGCTCTAGTTCTCTTCCTTATGTCCCACAGTTATGAACGGGTAGATGAAATTATCTGGGTGAAGACAAATCAACTGCAGCGCATTATTCGGACAGGCCGTACAGGTCACTGGTTGAACCACGGGAAGGAACACTGCTTGGTGAGCAACACTGGGGCCCAGTTCAATAGGTGAAGCAGAAAGAGGAATTGTTGGACTTACTGAGAAAAAGTTCAAATGCTGGGGGTTCCATAAGGTAATCTCTTCTCTGTGGTGAGCAGGTTGGTGTCAAAGGAAATCCCCAAGGCTTCAACCAGGGTCTGGATTGCGATGTGATCGTAGCTGAGGTATGTGCTTCCCCAGGCATCCAAACCTTCCACATTATTCAAGTCAGGTGTGTTCCAGGTTCTCTCATTTGATCATAAATATAAATGGAAAGGGCTAGACTTGCAATCTTTGGTAACTTAAAAGTACCTAGAGCCTTGCTTTCCTAGGTTCGTTCTACCAGTCATAAACCAGATGAAATCTATGGCATGATTGAGAGACTATCCCCTGGCACTCGCAAGATTGAGTTATTTGGACGACCACACAATGTGCAGCCCAACTGGTAAGGCAAACATAGTAGCCCTCCTGTTTATGGTCAAGGATGGCTGTTGGTAGAGCTTTACCTCATATTTCAGGAGTTTAAAAATGGGCTTCAGAGGCTTCATAAGCCATCCAAGCTTGTATTTAAACTGTTTTATGGGGCTCTGCAACATTCACTGGAGACCCAACAGATTTTAAGACCCAAATAACTGCTCTCTAAAGGGTCTCTACTAAAGATTTTCCTCAGTTATTCTATGGGATGTATTGAATCTGCCCCCTGGTGGTTAAGAATCCATTTAATCTGTCAACAGTTTCAGTATCTTTCATTCTGTTAGTAGAGCTTTGGAAGACATGTTGCTAGCATTTTATTTATCCAAAGAAGACTCATTGGCAGCAACTTTGTGAAGTACGCCTGGTTAGCTGTCTGTTACTAACCCTTAAGTAATACAGATCCAGCCTGTTTTAACACCAAAATCTGTGCCCAGTTCCTAACCAGTCACACTACCAAATACTATTCTAATATTAAGGTCTTCTTAAAAGAATTGGCATGAATATTAGATGAGATGATAGGCAGCCTTAATAAAAGGTAGGCATCTTTTAACAATATTAAGACTTTTAATTCCAGGAGTTTTTGGTTTGCCTCTTCTTTATCTTTACTTCAGGATCACCCTTGGAAACCAACTGGATGGAATCCACCTACTAGACCCAGATGTGGTTGCCCGGTTCAAGCAAAGGTATCCAGATGGTATCATCTCTAAACCTAAAAATCTGTAGAAGCACTTCCTTACAGAGCTAAGCACCTACAGCCATGGCTCTGTAGGCTGCACCTGAAGAGTAATATTTGTACAATAGTTTTTCTTCCCTTATTTAAATAAAAGTTTGTATTGTGGTTGGGATTTCAAGGTCAAAATCTGGCTCTGCCACTTGACAGTGTGTGGTCTCGTGCACCTTATCTCTCAGCAGGATTTCTTGTATGTAAGCTGGGAATATGCTACCTACCTCACTGGGTTGTTGTAAGGTTCAAACTAAAGGAGTGCATGTTGATTATACTATATAGGATCAAAGTGATTAGCAGTTAGTACTACGTGAACGTTGTAATCAAGAAGGGGGTTCTCTGGGACAGCTATTTCTCAAGGTAAGATTTGATTTCACTTAAGGGTATCATCATTAGGGCTAACATGCTCTAAATATTTGTTTACCCTTTCACAACTATGTGGCTTTGCTTGTCTTTTTTTCTTTTTTTAGCTTATGTCCAAGAAAAATGAGATAAGCACATCTTAGATTAAATTTAAATGAAACCCTAGGGTGTACAGAGAATTAGCCTATGTATTATGTAAGTGAAAACACCTCTAGCCTATCTTTTAAAAGATATTTCATTAAACACAAGTGAACACAACTTTAGACTTTAGTAAAACCTCTTATATTAAGGATATAGACTTCTGTCTTTTACACTCATAAACTGTGGTAAGTGCAAGAGGGAGGATCAAGGATTACAGAAATAACATTATTTGTAAAGAGAAATAAATAAGGAACTCCCAGGTGACAGTATTTTCCCTACAGCCCAAGGTGCCTGCTCTGTTGAAAACTTTTGTTCTCAAAGCAATGTATAGGTGTGACAGCAATCGTTCCTGTTTAAGAGATAATCTTTAATGGAACTTTTTATCCCCTTTAAATGGATGCACACAGTGTTTTAGCCTAGGCTCAAAGCTGAGTATTCTCCCATCATTTTAATAATTGTTTAGGCATGTCCTATGACAATTATACCGTTTCCTCAAACGACCCCCCACCATCACCACCCCTATGTTCTGCTTGTTCATATTCCCTTTACCCTTTTCTCTGCTATTATCACTGGTATCTCTGCTTGTACTTGAAAGTAAAAAGCAATTCCAGATTACAGCCAACTCAATGGCCTTGCTCCATAGTATGGCCCCTGATGAAGAGACAGGAAAGGGGAGAAGCACGAAGGACCATCACGGGTTGAGATCAGGCAGAAGCCTGAAGCCCAACTTGTTTTTTAAAAAGAGGCTCTTAGACATGTTCCCAGCAGATAAGTCTTGACTGGCTTGGAGAACAGGAAGGACTACTTCACAAACACCACAGTGTTTGAATTTCTAGAGGCCACCCAGGCCAAGAAGACATCCCTGAAAGAGAAGAGATACACATAAACTTAGAATTACAGCCTAGATACAGCCTTTTTGAACTCTTGTCTTAAATAGTTTCATTAAGGTATCACCATATGAATATAAGGGCAATGGGCCTTAATTAAGTTTAGACAATCCTGATTTGCTGAAGCAGATTTGACTTAGGAAAATGCCAATACTTTCATAGATAGAGGTAAATCCCAGGAAAATTGGGGAGATGGGTAAAATCTTCAGAACTTCTCTCGCCCCTACCACCCACCCCTTCTGCCACACTTAGCACCTTCTTCTTACACTACTTACCACTTAGCATAATGGTCCTCCTCAAATTCTAATTCCCCGGGTAGCTGGATTTGCAGTAAGGAGAGAAGCTAAGCTAATATCCATAGTCACTAACAGCTTAAGGTGTTATAATTTTTTAAAAGACCGTATGTAACTGAATGTTAAAGAGCACATGTAACTGAATATAATGTAACCAAAAAGCAAAAACTGCTAATTATATCATCTTTGTCTATGTGGGAAATATAAGCTCTTTTTAAGCAGGGGAAGCTTTTCTAGTAGCTTCTATAATTAGACATACATATAGCAATCTCTAGTCTACCTCAGGTCAGGTGATACTGACTATATGCTCAGGGTTACCCTGTTTTCCAACAGTTAACTTAGCAATATCTGAATTGTAAGAAGGGAAACTATAAGCTCACCTGCAGTGCTTCACCACACATTCATTGCTGCAGTACTCATTGTCCCAGTCCTTACTCACAACAGGAGGGTTCTCACAACCGGATCTCACACATCGAGGCTGGGGTGAGAGTGTCACGGGAGACCCACTCACCAGTTCAACATCCATTTGAGAAGGAGACTCAACCTATGAGAGGAAGAGAGCACAAAAGACGAATTAGATTGCTACTTACTTAACTAGCCAGCTAGTCAAATTAACTCCAGGAACCAATGGAGCTGCCCCCATATGGGGACAGAGTTCTTTTTTTTTTTTAAATATTTTATTTTTTTTAATTTACTTATTTGACAGAGAGAGACACAGCGAGAGAGGGAACACAAGCAGGGGGAGTGGGAGAGAGAGAAGCAGGCTTCCCGCAGAGCAGAGAGCCCGATGTGGGGCTCCATCCCAGGACCCTGGGATCATGACCTGAGCCTAAGGCAGACTCTTAACGACTGAGCCACCCAGGCGCGCTGGGGGCAGAGTTCTAAAAGAGTTCTTGGTCTCCCCCTCTCTAAGCATCTTGAGACTGACATGGAGATTCTTCCAATTGGTAGAATGCTGGCTAGTACTCTTTAATTTTATCTATCACTGACTTTATTCCACACTTGACTATTACTCCTCTGAAAATCTCTACAAAGTACAGTGTGAATAGAGGTTGGTTTATGCCATTAGAAAAAGGGAAAGACCTCAGAGATTCATAGTTTCCTGCTGATGGGGGGTTATTTTTCTTTAAATGATTGCTTCATTAATTGTGGACCTGGAGTCTCAAAACATATTTTATTTTAAATGACTGTTGGTGATGTACAAATTAAAACTAGGGTAATTGGCATCTATTTATGTCTCTTTGGAAAGACTCAATGATATGAACCATTTTTTTTCAAGCTATCCATCCCCCACTTAAAACACATCAAGCCAAGCAGCAGAGATGTAGGAGAAATTCCATCTCCAAAGTTTAGGATCCTTGGATAGGTACCTCTGAAAAATAACTCCATGCTTAGTTAGGCTTTATCCTCTTTCGTAGAACTGCAGTATGACTTTTGCTTAGTTAAGGGGTGGTCTGGGACAGAACACCCTCCTAAACGTTTCTTACCAAGAACAACAGATTATTATGGGTAGGACAAGTCACAGTCGCAGGGAACTCCTACAGGAACTCCTGGTTTCCAGACATTAAATGCTAGTAGCAACCTCCACTTTTATTGGGTCAACCAAAATAATTCTACCTTTCCACTGGTCTGGAGAAAGACTTGAAAACTGGCTCACCTCAGGAACTACATCTGTGATCATCTCACAGATTGTCTCAGGAGAGGTTTCCTCCACTGCGTGGGCCTCGGGGCTGTTGTTCACAGGCCGCTCGGGACTACTTTCCACAGCTGGTGGGACTAAAGGCGTCTGCATTTTCAGAGTGGGTGGAGGCACAATCTTGATCTGCAGAGGTGGTGGCTGTTGCTGTAAATTGATTCGAACTTTCTGAGGTGGAGGCTGTTGCATGGCCTGCAGTGGGGGAGGCTGCTGCAGAATGGTCACTTGCTGCTGAGTGGGAGGCTGAGGCATCTGTTGCAGTGGAGGGGGTTGTAGTCGGGGTGGAGGCAGTTGCATAGAAGCAGCAGCTGCTGCCGCTGCCTGCAACACTGAGCGAGTGACAATTTGGGCTTGTTGACTGGGCTGGATAGTGGCTGTACTGGTTTGGCCTAGTTGGATCCCCCGGGAGGTCACCACTGTGGCTGGGATAACGGTAACCATCCCTCCTTGAGACATAGTAATAGAAGAGGGCAACATCTGTTTGGTAATAATCAACTTGGTGATATTGGGCTGACCCCCAGCCCCAGAAGATGCCTGGTTTGCCACATAGGAGGAAAGAGTGGAGTTAACGACAATGGAAGGGGACAAGGCAGGGGGTTCTGTTGAGGCTGGTGCTGGAGATGCTGGGTCAACAGTAGCCATAGGAGGTGGAGAAGGAGTCTGTGATGGTGGCACTGGATCCAATTCTACTGTTTCCACAGTGGCCTAACAGACCCAAAAAAAAGGAAAGTAAGTAAGTCATTGGGAAATTTACTCTCTTCCCCAGAACATATTCACTCTAATCACCTTCTAAGAAAAGATACATCACAGAGTGGAAGAAAGAAAAGAGCTGTGAGAGTAAATAATGGAGATAAACTCAGAAAGACAGACTGTGGCAAGGTTTATGGTGGAAACAATAGGAAACCTGTTATATACTTTTAAGCTTTTAATACAACATAGTATTAACAGGTCCTACAGGTTTTTGGTGGTATTTACTTCTTTTAACTGCTAATAAACAGCTCCAAAAATCTTTTTATTGCTTTAAGTAACCCTCTCACCTGACACTCTTGATTGTCTTTATATGCAGCCAGAGCCTTCAGATACTCTTTCTTGGCAGCTTCAGTTTTCCTCTTGTACACCTACAGGAAAGGCAGAGACTGTTTATAAAGTCCCCATACTCCTAGAAAAGACTAATAATTCTATATTATTTATCAACGAATGACAATTCATCTCAGTCAATCAGCAAGTCTTGCCAGGACAACTACACTTCTGTAGCTAACACCAACTCATGCCCACTTTTATAACCAAAAAAAAAAGAAGAAAATCCAGATCCAAACATTGTGTAAGATTAATAGTCTGCTTAGCCTGGGATTGTGTCTAATGGGTATATTCTCCCTTAAGGACTGTGGCAAGTTATTTGAAATGATGGCCACAAGAATTCCTCCCATCTTCCATACTTTTTCTTCCATCAAGGGCTGAAACCTATTCCCCTTCCTTTGAATCTGGGATAGCTCTATGAATTGCTTTGACCATGCAATTCTGGCTGAAGTGACAGACCTTGCACTAAGTCAGCTATACTACAAGGAAGCCAGTCTAGCCTTTTGAAGGATGAGAGGGCCATGTCAATGAGCAGGAATCTAAGCTAAGTAGCACCAAATGTCAGACACGAGAGCAAGGTCACTTTGGCCAGCCATACCAGCTATCATTTGACAAACCACAAGAATAAGCCCAGGCAAGAACATCAGAAAAACCATCTAACCAATTCACATTATCATGAGAAATAATAAACTGC